AACAATGAGCCATGACTCAACATGGACATTTTGTGTTCTGCTAAATAAATTCATAAATTAAAGCAACATTCAGACTGTCCCAAAATAATTATATTGTCATTTGTTATTCAAAACTATCTAATGCCAAAAGGTGAAATGCACTTCTAGATGTTAGTGATTATATAGTTTTCTATTAAACAAATAAAATAAGTAAAAACATAGGAATTCATTGATACACAATCATTTATTTTAGTATACTTAAATCCGCCAGGTGTCTATGCTTATTGGTCACCGCCATCTTGGAAATTAGATAAAGCTCAGTGGTTAAGCTCAGTGCTGCCAACCATACTGACTGAGTGAAAGTTCATGTTATAATCACTGAAGCGGATGACATTGCAAAATGAATGTCTTATTTACATTGTTGTTGTTTTTTTATAATGAACGGATTTGCGAACGTGCTTTGGCTGAACTCTGTGAGCTTGCTCTAAACAAACTCTACTTTCAGCGTATTCCGTGCAACCCTAGTCCTGGGACTCTTATTTTGAAAATTCCCATGGTTTGTGTTGTGTTCTGTCCTTGTTATATTCTCACTTCTCGTGATGATGTCTGGTTTTCTTAGTTACAAAGTAGTGATGCAAAGTCCGAATCATTTCCGCGAACCGGTACTTTTCGGACATCGCTTAAGCAACTTTAAATATAATATGCATGCACAATAAACTATTGTAAAATTTATTTACATCACTCGACAGAAAGGTTTTTGCAGGTTTTAATAAAATGTAAATTAATAACAGTCATAATAAACAAGCATATTTCCAGTACGCGCCTCAGGCTTGCACAGTATCATCAACTCACTCATCAGAATCTTCAGTAATCCTCGGCAAACTTCGCCACGGCTAATTCGGTTCTTGTTGAGTCCTCGGTAATCCTCGGCAAACTTCGACAGTTGGTTGAACCGGCTCATTTGGTTCTTTTTGAGTTGGACGTGCTACTTCGGCTGTGCATCCTGCGTCATCAACCCGGAACTAAAGTTCAATTCAGTTCGATTTGTGAACCAGCTCGACCGGTTACTTCCTGAGAACCTCAAAACAACGATTCGTTCAAGAACCTAACATCACTATTACAAAGCAATATTGTCATCTTTACCTGTTTCTAGTTTTGCCCGTCTTCTTTGGGCATATGTTGGTTACTTCTCAATTGCGTCCTTAAGTCTTACAGTTAAGTCTTACTTCCTTCCTATCCTAAGAGCGGGGGCAGCTTTTTGTAACTTAAATGAGCAAGACTTCAGATGTCTTCCGCTTCCAGTTATTTTAGCTATACAAAATCGCTTGTTATGCTGCTTGAGATTGCAAACTGATATTTCTTATCATATTATTTTAATGTATTGTCGTTATTATAAACACATGGGTTTGTAGCCCCAAATAGCTTCATGGCTTGGCTACGTCATAAATGTTTCTGCCCCCACGGTCCCGGCATGAAAATACTATTAACATTAAATGTGAAAAAATACATATTAATTGACTTTCTATTAATGAAATTCACTTAATGACAACTGTCTGTGGCCTACAAAACGTGCAGAGCAGTTGTACCCCGGGACTGGAATTGAGAACCACTGTCCTAAATCATTGTTTTATTGCACTGCATAGTGAAATTGGAAGAGCTCAGATTCATTTTCCTTTAATTATTTTCTTTGAATCTGAATTATTTGAATGTGTGCAAAGGATTGTGGGTTATTGAAGGATAAACTTGCTGCATCTTTCAAAATAAGCTGAATGATAGACGCAAAGTGAAGGCTGCCTTTCAAGGATCCTTCAAATTGACATAGCCTTCGATGGAGCTTGATGACGTGGTAGCCTAGATATGCAGCCTTACTAGGGTGCAGCCTTTGAATTTAGTTGAATTTGAACCCATAGTTTCCTCTGTTCATTGTCAGTGTGTTTAACATTTGTGGTTAAACTGTTGTCTTTGTTTAAACCTTCCTCAGTTGTTTTCCTTTGTTTTGTTCCATTGGATTAGAAAAAGAAAAGAAATATAGAACTCAATTATTGTTTTGTATTGCATGATCATATCTGCGGTCGGGGACAGTTTACCTCGTCACTGCAGTTTACATAGTTAAGGCCATTCAATCTGGTTCAACTAGCTTCAGCAAGGAGCCTTTAGCTTCTTGTATCATGCAAGTATACAACAGAGATTTCCGTGATGAAGTCAAATGGGTAAAGCGATCACTCGCTGTGATCACTGGATAGAGCGGCCGGTTTTGCTGATTGACCCACTACTTGACCTGCCCACTGGGAAAGTCCTGTCCAGTCCATACCGTGCATTCTAACCAGCATGTAACTTTGTTCAAGTTCACATGTGCTTGCATTCGCTTCATTTTCTAAACCAAATATTCAAAAGAACATAAACAGCATTATATCTTTTTTAATAAATCTGCAAAAATGTCAACGATTCTGTGTTTTTCTGTCAATATGGGGTGCTCTGTGTACATTAATGAGGAAAAAAAAATTAACTTAAATGATTTTAGCAAATGGCTGCAATATAACAAAGAGTGAAAAATTTAAGGCGGTCTGAATACTTTCCGTACCCACTGTATATATCGACCCTTTTCCTCTGTTATAACATTACTGAACATTAATATTTTACCAAGGCATGAACCAACGCTGCATTTCAATGATCTCTTTTTGGGGATAGAAGGCACAGAGAATTCACCAATGAGGCAGTACACAGTATGCTGTTGTCTGCAGTAAGAATACAGTTCAAAGTTCAAGGCAAGCATAAACGAAACATCACTAGTGTAACCAATTCAAAAGAGCCTGGTGAAACAGGAGTGGTTCCCTGACCTGGAAACTCAGCACAGCAGATGAATAAAAAAGAAGGAAAACTCTGTGTACAAACAAATAAAAACTAAGTTGCTTCAGTCCAGACATTCAACATTTTATATACAAAGTCCATACAACAAAACATGGCAACACTTAGGTTGATATGTAAGCACAATAATATTCCTCAAAGTAGGGCAAAAATAGCAAGTGAAATGAACTCATGGCTCCTGCTACAGCACATGGTTAGACTCTTGATAAAGGGTCTAAACCAGGGGTGTCCAATACTGCTCCTGGAGGACTCCAACCTGCCCCAACACACTTGCCTGGACATTTTTTTGTTCAAAACAACCCAACCGCTGGGTCAAAACAACCCAATAGCTGGGTTTGTCCCTTTTTAACCCAGCGCTGGGTTATTTTTAACCCAGCATTTTTTAGAGTGTATAATTTCACTCTGTACACGTAAAAAAAAACTGAAGTATACTTTGAGCTTATAGTGTCGTTGAGAGAACAGTGGGTTTGATGGCTGAATCCTCTGCAGATTGTAACCTGCATTAGTAAGGGTTTTTAAATGGCATTTAAATGGCAGAAAGGTGGGTGAAAGGAGTGACAAGGGTGCACTCTAGGCTCCAGGGTTACCAAAGAGGTTTATTCATATTCTGAATCTAGTTGTACTTGAGAATTACGTAGAAGATCATTCATAATACCATTTTATACCACATTCTGTAGAGGTACTATACTCTTGTATGGGTTTACATGAAGTTCCTGGGCCCAGCTCAGTATGTATTTGTTTTTAGTTGATCACCCTGCTAATTACTGCTAATCTGACTGTTTAAACACTTTAATTATCCGTTTACTTAACAGTAAGTTGGTGCGAATTTTACTGCATGCATTTACTTTTTCTTCATTTACTTTTCTCCATTATTCAATGATCTAATGGAGTTTTTTGTTCTTTGCCACAGACGCCTTTGTCTGATATTTTGTATTATGTAGCCTACTATGCATTAGGTATACATCCACTAACTTTCCTCTAACAAATCACTACACTTTTTTTTTTTTTAAGTTGTAGGATCGCTGTTTCTTTCACACTACATGACTGTTTTGGGTATCATTAAGTTCTTAAACAACTTCGTTTAAGGCCACTAATCAAATGTAAACACATTTGTAACATTGGTAACCCATTTGTACAGTAGGTACAAAAGATGCTCTGAAATTTCACTTTTGACTAAAAAATTTAGGCTAATAATATTTGTATAGAAAATAGAAGCATTTTCAATAGCTGCCTCAAACTGTTTGTCTCTTTTTGGGCCTGCCTTAATGATTCATTTGGACCAGCCACACCTTACGAGATGGACTTCAGAAATGAGATGAGTTTCACTTTGCAGAGAATTCGCAAAATCCAGCCTGGGGAAGATATTACAGTCACACTGTTTCCTTTGTCCTTCTACAATAACTTTGTGGTGGCACAAAGAAGCTCTGTAAGAAACAGTAGAATTCAGATTCTCTTGTGTTGCGTGGTACAGCAGCGGCTTTGTCTCGCTGCACTGGGTTCAAACCTGACCACCTCCTGAGGAAGCACTGCTCTGTAATCTATGAATCTCTAGATCTGTTTTATGAAAAATATACAGAATCATAAAAACTACTTATCTATGAATTTTTCACAAATGGCAAAGTTTCCATAATTTGTCATGTCTATTGCAGTGCTTCTGGATCTTTTTTCAAAGAAATGTATTTTTTTTTTTTTTTGGACTCCAGCCTGGGGAAGATATTACAGTCACACTGTTTCCTTTGTCCTTCTACAATAACTTTGTGGTGGCACAAAGAAGCTCTGTAAGAAACAGTAGAATTCAGATTCTCTTGTGTTGCGTGGTACAGCAGCGGCTTTGTCTCGCTGCACTGGGTTCAAACCTGACCACCTCCTGAGGAAGCACTGCTCTGTAATCTATGAATCTCTAGATCTGTTTTATGAAAAATATACAGAATCATAAAAACTACTTATCTATGAATTTTTCACAAATGGCAAAGTTTCCATAATTTGTCATGTCTATTGCAGTGCTTCTGGATCTTTTTTCAAAGAAATGTTTTTTTTTTTTTTTTTGGACTTTGTGACAGAATCTGTAGCACTTGTTGCCTGCACAGTGGGGGCTGGTAGGTGATGACAATGATCTTACTGTGAAATGTCAGATAACTCCCGATGTTTCTGTGCAGGACAGGGGGAGGCGGACCTTAACCAGAACAATGGGTGCTCCAGCAAGAGTCCAGTGGTGACTGACTCCATGAACGCTGCAGTAGATCTCAGCAGCTGGAACCATCCGAACACAGCCGACCCTAATGCCTCAGGGCCCCGCCCACACTTGGTCCGCCTCTTTTCTCGAGATGCCCCAGGTCGCGAGGACAACACCTTCAAAGACCGCCCCTCGGAGTCTGACGAGCTGCAGACCATCCAGGAGCACAGCGGAGCTGACTCAGAGTGCGGTTCCGAGTGTGCAGAGCAGGACCTAAATTAGATTTCCTCTTTGCCTACTCTTTCCTCACTCCTATTTTGGAAAAACAAAACAAAAAAACACCGCTGCAGAGATTAAAGCAAACACTCAGCATGGCATCTGCAAGCTCTTCGCAGTCAACATTCAGGCTGGGCCGCAGTAAGAAGAACCCAACTGTTATGGATCAGATCGGAAAGTTCTTTGGAGGGGATAAAAAGAAGAAGGGAAAGGTGAGGATTGAGCAGGCATTCAGAGTTCTCCACATGAGCCTTTACTACTGTTCTATTTGCTTGAATTTATCTTGACCTGCAATTATTTTTTGATTATGAGATCACCACCAGTAAATGAGTTGCGTGTGATTTTCTTTTTTTTTTAATTGACTTTTAACTCTTTAACCTGCTGTCATATAGTATCCAGTATTGAATAAAGCTGCAATTTGATTTGTTATAGGAATTTACTGTGATTCAGGGATTCAGCATACAGTGTGATGTTTATAAACATGACTTTTAGCTTTTATAAAGTGTTCAAATGTATTCGAAATGCCTGTGTAGGAACAAAATTAAGTGTTTTTACGACTTTTCAACATTTCTGTTGCTGTCAGTGAAAAGTTCTGTACTAAACAGAAAAGATGGTACATATAGCGTATTGTACAATGAGTGGTACTAAGTCTCAGCCAGGATGTTTATGTTGGCAAAGAGAATTTTCACATATCTGTGACTTTTTCTTATACAGTATGTGACCGATGAATATTATATATTTTATAGCCATTTTAGAATCCAATTATCTTATAACATCATGGTGTTAAGGGAGCACCTCAGGGTTTTTCATGGTACAGCAGAGGCCATTACCGATCAGTTTGGTTTCTAAAATGAATTTGCAAAATTTTGGAAATTATCCTTAACATTTGTTATGCTTGTGAAATTATGCAATTTCTAGAGCCTTAACTTTTAAGAAAAGAGGGAGATCAATATTTTTCTTCTACAATAAAGATATTTAAGCTGTTAGGTGACAAACACCAAAGTTGGGAAACTTTTTGGCTTTGTGGGAAAGTGTAAAATGAGATCATAATGATGTAAGTTTATATTTGTGACCTTATTTTTAAAGTGCCATATGATGGTTAAAATGTAACGTTACGTAATTACTGACTTGCGCAGTGTGTAACATTTTGATTAACTAGTTTTAATTTTGTGGGGAAAAATAATGTTAAATAATGTGACAAAGAGATTGAGATGTCATAGTTCCAGTTGTATAATAGTTTTGTCTCAGACCTACATGTTGCTGCTTCAACCAGATTTCTCAAAAATGCCTCAGGTTAACTCATCTCTCCTATGTAACAATGTGATCTTTAAGTGTTAATGCCTCACTAGTAACCCCTATAGATTGTGTCCCATTTGTAACACTTTGTAACAACAACAGCTTGTGTAACCTACATATTCCAGAACAACCCTGAAGCTGTTCCTTAGCCTCATCCTGTCCTGAGCTTTTTGACATTTGCTTGATTAAAATATATCTAACAACATGAACACTGGCTTTTTTTTATTTTTATTTTTTTTTTATTGGTGTGGTCACAATGTGAATTTGAAATTGCCAAGGTAAAGTGTCTTGTAAAGGGTCGACAACTCAGGTCTAATTTATATGCATAAGCAAGAGTAAGCGGTTTTTGAACAGTATTAATGAAAATACTGTTGGTTAATCGTTTGTCAAAGTCTGATGTGATTTCAAAAAAATCTGTTATATGAAAAGATCCTTTGATTATTTTGTACTAACAGGAAACTGCTAATATTTGAATACAGAACATACAGAAATTTTAACATTAGCTAATAAACCACTACGGATATGAAAACACTATAGGTGTATTTATTATTCACAGGCAGTCTTTCCTTGCTGTGAGCATTGGGCAATGTAGTTAAAAAAAATATTATTATTAATTATTACTATTACTAATTATTACTATTTTGACTTTAATGAAGATTTATAATTATATAAATATTTAGTATGCATTTGCTTTGACATTGTTTAAAAGGTCGTTTCTTCAGAAAGTACTTAATTTTAAAACTTCCAATGTAGCCATTAGATAGATTCAAAAAGATAGATGTAGCCGTTAGATTCAAAATGTTTAATGCAAGAAGTGAAATGCAGAAAGTTATGCAATGCTTAACCTTACTAACAAGCAAAACAACTAGCGGCATACTTTCTGCAGTCCCCCAGGAGCAATATGTGGTAACTGCTCCGCAACACAGTGAAGAAAGGGGATTTCAGAATGGATTTCAGTTTAAGGATTGTCCCAATGCCTCAGCCAGGCAACCGTTTCATCTTAATAGTAAGATGAAACCGAATGCAAGGGGGGTTAAACTGAATGCAAGGGGCAAGTTGTGTTGATGGATCTGTGAGAGGAAACTGGGCATGATGCCATTGAGGTACAAGTCTTCATAAAACACAAAGAGGATGGCTCCCAAATAGAACGCTTGTTCACAATGGCCACCTTCTCTTCCTGGGCTAACGCTAGTACTCATAAAACGTGAAAGCCCAGGCCCCATACCTCAGTGAGTCCCAGATGGTGATGAGTCCAGCCCTTTGGAGGTTTCCCAAGGTGTTCCTCCCATCTCTCCTCGGCCATCATCCTTCTCTCAACCCTAAGGCCAAACCCGATGTCAGATCTGCAAGATTGGCTGTTTGCAGTCAGGAAAAGAGTTGATAAGCTGTCAAGTCAGACATTTTTTGCTTAGCATGTGTGTACATGAACATCACTATAAGAAATACATATTCATAGAGGCAAATTTTGTAACCAAAAGGCTTTTTTCAAGCAGAAAATCCAAATGGTTCTAATATCTAAACATTCTAAAGAACGTGAGTCTATGCATTATTTTTAATATCCTGATACAGTACCTCATATTTTATAATATAGGAAGCTTGTTTTTTTTTCTTAATGACCATTCCTTAATTTACATAATCATTTCATGTGTAAAGCAATGCCAGTAAAACAAAAATAAAATGTAAATAGAATAAGTTCATTCTGTACCTTTAAAAAAGATTAAAAATGAAAGAGCAAACTGACATGATGAGTATACTGTAGCCAAAGAAAACATACAAAGATGGCCTAACAATTAATCAATCACAGCATGACTGATGATGCCAAACATTGATGGTATTCAACTTCAAAGCAGCTTCTTCTCCTTTGAGACAGACAATAGGGCCTTTCGCACCGCTTTAGTTCCAGAACTAAATGTACAGTACTAAAGTACTGGGACGATTTTGCGCGAACTATTTCCCAGTACCATTTAAAGGGGTGCATTCGCACCGACAGTGTGTACTAGGAAGTGACATAAGCCGGTCGACAGCGACGTCATTTGTGCGTGGCGTTCAACAACAGAAACAAAGAAGAACAATGTTAACAACAGGAGGATGGAGGACGCTGTGATCGGAGCTGTGTTTTTGTTGTGTCTCGCGGGTTTCACAATAATGGACATGGAATGTCGACGTATATGTAAAGCGATTGAAAGAACGGAAAGGAGGACTAAGAATCTCCAACGACAACTGGCAGTGCTACATTTGCTACAAGTGCCTGCACTTCAGCGTCCGTCCATCTATCGCTGTCCTCCATAATTGCTAAATAAGTTGACACAAAGTTTACAGTATGTTTACACGGCGTTTTAAATCATGGCAGGGGAGGGCGTTTTCGTACGCGTTTGGCCAATCAATGTCTACTTACATCACTGGTAGTACCAGTTGTGCTGGTTAGACCCTGCTCCGGAGTAGGAGCTAATTTGGTTCTCGAAAAAGGCAGTCCGGTACTAAAATCTCACCCAGTTCCGGCGGTGCGAAAACGGCAAAAAGTGGGCAGTTCCACAATTAGTTCTGGTACTATGAAAAGGTTCCCGCGGTGCGAAAGGCCCTATGGGTTGCAATGGACCTAGCTGAGATCATTGAGTTAGGAGTTGTAGTCTGACTGGCAGGCTAAGATCATGGAGGTAGAGACTGTAGTAAAGCCAGCAATAGAGGTCTGGTGTGTGTGTCTGCATAATAATCTTGCTAGTTGATTAGGTGTCTGTTGTGGTTTTAGCTGGCCCTGGCATGATGTGTTTGTGGCCTTTGCTGACCATCTGCAATGAGTGATTGTCTGGTCGTAGAGATTGCTGGCCGAGAAGGGCTGTGTTATGGTCTTTGCTGGATGCGATTGAATCTGGCCTGGATACAGTCTGGATCAGGTTGACTAGGGTAACCTCGGGATAAGGCTGAGGATGAATGATCGAGTCAGACAGAGACCAGTATGAGTGCAGATGCCATTCACTTTTATGTGAAGTGATTTTCAGATTAAATTGAACTGCATTAAAAATGTATATAAAGGGGGCAGCATGATGACTCAGTGGTAGCACTGTTGCCTCAAAGCAAGAAGATCCCTGGTTTGAGTCCCGGCTGAGCCAGTAGGCCTTATTCTCACCATGTTTGCAAAAGTTTCCTCCAGGTGCTCTGATTTTCCCCACAATCCAAATTGCCTTTAGATATGTGTGTGTGAGCCCTTTGATGGACTGGGAGGGTGTCCCCCGCCTGTGGCCCGAATCGCTGGGATAGGCTTCAGTATTCCCGTGATCCTACAGAGGATAAGCCGTTTGGGGCATAGATGGATACAAAGACCTGTTCACACCAAGACTTGAATAAATGTCTATTAATGCATCTGTTCAGACCAACATGAGCATCAGTCAATGTGACAGATTTTTTCAATCTCTTTTCCATCGCACTATGAAGAAAACTGGCCAACCAGTAGGATTCATGCTTTTGGTCACATGCCCAGAGTGTTAAAAACATACATAAAACCATGACTCATGAACAAAGTATTTTGCTAAGGAACAGTGAATAGCAGAGGAAAAATCTGGAACCGGTTATCTTGTCCCTGTCGCTGTGTCCAAAATAGGATACTGTAAAGTAGGTACTAGCCTACATTTGGTTTGAAACTTGCTTAGGAACTGTTGAAAAAAAAAAAATCTGTATAGTATGAATGTGTGCAGTATGAATGAAATTCGGATGTACTGCATTCGCCTTGCTGTCATTGTCATGTGATCACTTGCTTCACTGCCATTCACAAATCCTCTCCCATGACCTCATGGGATAGTATAGTGTCCATCAGATGCACACTTCAGAATCTCACTGGAAGCGTTTAGTAATCCAGGTACTTTTTGCCTACTGTTTTACTATGCGGGGTTGGTGTTTGATGTTCTTTGATAAATACCACTGT